CCTCCTCCTCCTCCTCCTCCTCCTCCTCCTCCTCCTCTTCCTCCTCCTCCTCCTCCTCCGGTTCGTCGCTACATTGCCTTCCTTGCCATGGACTTGGACTGTAGTAACGCCAACATGTTGTCGCCCACCGACGCAGACGCTGGGTCGGTCGGGGCGGACAAAACGGGGGATACCAGAGCCAGCGGTGGACAAACCTCCCTGTAGCAAATATCCCCTTAGTGAACACGGCCTGGGACCGAAACCGACGGACCTGGACCCGCAAAAATGACGGCCGCGGCGCCCTCTCGCGAACCGAAAACGGCAAATGTCTTAATCGACGTGTCAGGGTAGGAGGTCTATCAATCTCCGACAGAGGTGGGGTTCACAATTCCGCTCACGTACCCGATTACCCCGGCGCCACCTGGCGCCAGAGGCGCCAATGCATCAAGGGCCGACGCCCAGTGGGGCCGAAACCACGTGCGCGCAGAATGTAACAGATTTCGCACCCCCCCATTTTCGTCCAACCCGAGAATCGATCCCAGACCATAAGCCCGAGCAGCCCTCCACAACCCTCGCATGCTGCGTGCAGGGTACCGCCACCGCCCCTGCGTTGAAGGGAAGAAGGGGCGTCGTCTTCTTCGTCACTAGTCCGAGCGTGTTTTCCTCTTGCATCTAATGGATCCCAATGGATCCCGTTTCGTGTGAGTCTCGTGCATCCAATTTGTCGCTCGTCCGGATCTCATTTTCTGGCGTGGAAGCTTTGTGAATCCTGTTCTTTTTCCTGGAATAAATGTATACGAGGTCGCCCAAGACGCCCAGGACGGCCTCGCGAGGGCCCTTGCAAGCCTGAGCCCAACCAAAGATGCTAGCAAGGCGGCCCAAGATGGGTCCCAGACAGCCGAAGACGCCTCAGAGACGGCTCAAGAAACTTCAGATGGCCTCGCGAGGGTCCGAGCCAAAGCCAGAGTCCGGCCAAGATGGCAGCAAAACGGCCCAGCAGGCCTCCGAGACGGCCTAAGACGACTAAGACAGAGGCCCGAGCCCGACTCACAATGTATAGACGAGACTGTCGTATAGAAGGGTACGTGCTTACAACCACTCAGGCGCGTTTTGCTGAGCGCGGCGACGCAGACTCTCCGTCTCTCCGAAGAGACAAGCGCGCCCGAGCATTCCTCGCGCAGACGCACATGGATCGACAACAAAGCACGCGCGAGTTAGATCGTAGCAGGATGGCACAGCGCTCGCAGGCGACGCATTGCCTCGTTCTGCGAGGTGAATGGCGCGAGCATTGCGCACGCACTGAGACCACCTACAACTGCCGCGTTCACGGCGTCCCCGCCCTGCTCTTTCACAACGTCGCGAAGCCTGCCTGGGCGGTCGAGGTCACATGAACAAGTCGACTGCATCTGACGAACGCACCCGCACGGGAAAACTGGGAACCCCTGGCTAGCAATTAATTCCATCGGGGTCGGCCAACGGGAGCGGCACCAAGTCATGCCTGCCCGCCGTCGTTCGCGCTATGCGAACCAAACCCGATCCGAGCATTCTGGTTCAGCTGATGATGTGCTGGGGCTACACATAGCCTCGTAATATGCAAGCCACTTCTGCTCTGTGGGACTGAGCGCACGCCTGAACACGCCAGGAATCTGCGGTACCAGGCGCTAGCGTATCTCCAGCTGCAGCACGGGCGGCCTTCGCGGACGGCCGCGACGCTGCCCGGCCCAACCCCCCCTAGAGCGCACCACTGTCTCCGAACAAGAACGAGCGGGAATGCATGCGGCACGGGCGACGCAAGCGAACCATGAAGGCGGTCGACGTGCTGGTCGAAGGCATAGCGATGCATTTGCGTCGCATCACGCTGCGTCGGCTGACTCGGTGAGCAAGCCACTCAAAGCCGAAGGCATCGCCAACGAACTCTGAGCCGATCTCATAGGGGCCGCCGAGAAACCGATGTAGAAGCGATGTGTCAAGCCGCTTCACGTTCTCTTGGATAATCGCTGCTTACTGAAGCTTGCGCCTGAGCGCGCGCCGCGCCAGCGTGCCCGAAGCAGCTTTGCCGTCTGAACCGCCGCCGCTACCGCGCGCGCCCCAGTCAGGGCGCGGCGCCCCAGCCACGCGCAAGAAGGCCGTCGCGATGAAACGCGCCCTGCCGCGCGTGACGCACCAACCTTTGGCGCGGACTGCCCGACCTGACACGGCAGCCGGGACGAACCGCTCCAGAGCCATGTCGGGCGACGGCCGGAGATGAGCAATAATGTCAGCGAGCTCTGGCGCAAAGATGCTGGACGTGGCGCGAGTCGTCGGCTGCCGCCATCGGGCGCATCTCGAGCTCGGCTAGAGCGTGCTCAACCCACGCAGCGCAATGAAGCAGCCGCGGCGCCCGCAAATCCGCGCTGTCATCGCCGCGCGAGCGCAACCCCGCCACCGACACTTTGATTGCTGTCTCTGGCGCACCCACGCCACTGCAAGCCGTCGACATTGTCGCGCGTGCTTGACGATCACGCAGGTGCGACCTCGATGCGTCAGTGGGCGGAGCCACAAACCAGTCGGGCGGCCACGCGTGTGCGTGGCAAAAATTGAACGCAGCTCGTTTGCGAGAACTGCTGCAGCTAGATCCTGATATCCCGCACTGTCGCGAGCTGACGAAGGGGCTTGCTGCCACGGGCTCCTCGAACGCCACGCCCAATGCAACCGGCGCCGCCAGCGCGGCTGGAGTGGGCGATGCCGACGCGGCGGGGGCGCGATGATCACCGCTGCTGCTGCTGCTGCTGATGCTAGTGCTGCTGGTGCCGCCGCTGGAGTCGCCGCCGCTGGCGGGCGCTTGCGGGGCGGCAGCGTCGACCGCGCCGTCGCCTGCAGGGTCGGCCGAGGCAGGCGGCGCTGATGCCGACTGCGGCGGCTGATCCTCTGAAGGTGCACGTCCAGCTTCGGCATCCGCTGGCGACGCGTCAGTCGCCTCAGCCTCGCACGACGCGGCTCGGACCCCGGCCGCCGGCCACTGCGTGTGCGACTGGGCTGCGAGATGCACCGGCGGCGGCCCCGCAACAGGCGCGCCCGCCGCCTGGCCTAACGGGGGAGGCCCGCCCTCCTCCGCGACTGCAGCCTGACCACGTAGCTGACCAATACCTGCATCCAGTTTTGCCGGCTCTGGCGGCGCGGTCGCCTGCGTCCGGCGTGGGGACATGTGTCGACGTGCCTATCGTGGACGCACTTGCCATCGCAGCCGCCGCGGGGACGTTTGTCTCCGCGCACGCCCTGGCCCCCAACAACAACATGGGAGACAGGCGATCCGGCATGGCGCGGGGGCGCGTGTCCCAACAGTCGCAGCGGGACGCATGTCCCACACCCCCTATGGCGATGCCTATCCATGACGCATGGTTCGGGGGCGCGTGTCTCACGCGGGGAGCGTGAGAACAACTGCTCTCGCAGCGGTCGCGGGGGCGCGCGTCCCCGCGCCCCTGGTGGGACACGTGCCCGCACGCCCCCCGCGGGGGCACCGTGCCCCGCGCCCCTGCGGGGGCACCTGTGCCAGCGCTCCTGCGAGGCACCTGTCCCAGCGCCCCTGCGGGGGCAGGTGTCGCCGCGCCTCTGCGGGGGTGCGCGCCCCGCAGGTTAGACCCCTTACACGTGTTAACCTAACAAGTGCGTTTGTAAGAATGCCTGCCAAAAATTAGCATGCGGGCCACACGCGCACGCGCACATGTCGAAGTCCTTCAAAGCACATGTCGGAGGTGTTCGAAACATGTTCACCCAAATACAACACAAACAAACCTTCGCTTCAGTAGATAAGACTGCATTATGTGAGCGCGCAGTCACTGGAATCATCAGAAAGCATGAGGTGTCTGTTCTGCCGCATGAAGACAAGCGTGCATGTCGAATTCATTAAACAACCACCGCGCACACACCAGCTCAGGCAAGTAAAAACATGCTGACCACACGCGCGCGACCCCACTCGCGCATGCCGAATTCCTTGCAAAACAGTTGGGGCCCTAAGTATTCCAATATAGAAATATCGGAGTAGTCCAAAAACATGTGACAACAAACTTGGGCTCCGACGAAATATGTCGTAGCGTCTGCGCGCGCTTTCCCATCATCCTCACCACCAGCACCGTAGTCATCATTGGCAGCGTCGTCACCGTCATCGTCATCATCACCGACACGATCACCAACGTCGTCGTCAGCCGTCGTCATACACGTCGCCATCGGCATCACCGTTGTTGTCGCCCTCGTACTCGCCACCGACGCCGTCACCATCGCCGTCACCATCACCATCACCAGCATCATCATCATCATCATCATCATCATCATCATCATCATCACCATCATCATCATCATCATCATCATCATCATCATCCTCATCATCCTCATTATCCTCATCATCATCCTCATTATCATCCTCCTCCTCATCATCATCGCCACCATCATCGTCATCATCGTAGACGCCGCTATCGTCGCCGCCGTCGATGTCGCCCGTCGCCATCATCACTCGCCCGCCCGACGCATGGATCTACATGAGCAGGGTCCGCGCGTCACTGCAGCTCTTGAGGTTTGCGCACTAGCTCCGATGGGTAACTGCACTCACGGCAGTAAAAGTTTGACAAAAAACTTGCGGGTGGGAGGGTTGGACAGTTGCTCGAGAATGGGAAGTGGTCACGCGCGGATGCCCACTGCTACGTTTTTGCAACACAAAGGTTGCGCCCAAGAGTATACAACTCTGTGTATACGAATGTCTGTATGTAAGGCATCTATGACGCATCCAGTGTGAAATCACTCATTAAGGTTCACGCTGGCGAACGCGCGTTCGCTTCATATCATCGCTCTTTCGATCGGATCCCTGGCCAAGAGCAGCTGAGCAGCTCGACATACATCAGCTCACCGACGACACTCGCGCTCCATGAGTGCATTCCGAATCCTACTCCGAACAGCACCACTCACTGTCTCCAACTGGCGGCGACTGACGGGCGGCACGGCCCCACGGGGGCCGAGGACAGCAGATCAGGGGCACGTCGTGATGATTCTTTTTGTCCGCACTCTGCCCGTGCCTGCGCGCCTGCGCAGACTGTCCAGGACTGCGCGCGAGGGCCCAGACGGAGACTCCGGGGAGGAGGGCGGGCACTTCGGCCCACGAGGCCGCCGCACTCCCGCTGAGAGTGGCGCCGCAGACGCGCCGAGGATCACGCCGCAGCCTTGGCGCGCACGGTGCCGTCCACTGTGCTCCCGCGCGCGCGCTGGCGCACCTCGTCGAGCAAGCGGGCAAGCTCGCCCGACTTCTGCATGCGCACGGTGTCATCGCCGCCGCCGATACACCTGCCGCCCACGAAGACCCGGGGCACCGTGCTGGCCCCGGTCAGCTGCGCGAGGGCTCGCTGCGCGGCGGCCATCTCCCCGGGGGGCAGCCTGTCCAGCTCGAGCGCCTCGAACTGCACGCCTTCCTTCACGACCGGCGAACGTACCCATGTCCACGCCCTCGCGGTCCAAATTCCTGGGCGCGATCCCGTGGATACGCGGTCGCATGGATACGTACCCCGCGGGGGATCTGCGACAAAACGCTCGGGGTCGCGGACTGGGGGCCCCGCCCAGGAGACCGTGGATACGGATCTGTTTTCCGCCCACGACTCCTCCGCAAGCGCGCCCTTGGCCCTGGCGCAGTAAGGGCACCACGACTTCGAGAACACCATGACGCGGTTCTGCGACACGAGGCGCGAGACGCGGTCGCCCCAGCCTCGCTCCGCCTCTGGGCCCGCACCTACGCTGGCCAGCCCAGGCGCACCGCTGATCGTGCAGTCGGGACAATCATTGCTACCCCCGGGCATCTCCAGCTGCACCGCAGCGGCGGCCACGCAGGCCCCCTTCGGAGGCCCCCCAAATGGAGCAGGAGCAAATAGGGTCGGTGGATCGCACCCCGTCGCCGGTAAATCGGCCATGCATCGGTGCAAGTAGCAGTGGCACGCGTGCCATGGCTCTCGCACAGAAGGGAGGGGGCAGGGGGAGGTGAAAGAGGAAGACAGGGAAGGGATATCGGGCACGAGAAATCGGAGAAGGAGGGCCCAATGAGGGCCGCACAACGGGCTTGACAGGGCGATCTCGAGGAGGCTCCAAGGGCCCTTCCCCCGCGAAATTGCCTCCAAGACTTCCAACATGCTCCCCGGAGGCCTCCAACAAACACCCAAACCAAAAACTCCCTGGGAGCCCGAAGCGGAAGCGGAGGGGTCACGGGGCGGGCGAGGGTTCCACTAGGCCGCCGGGGAACGCTGGGGAAATGGGGGATGGGGGGCGGGGGCGGGGCGCGACGTGCGACGCGGAATAAGATGGTCGGCGCGGAGGGGGCCACTGGGCCGCTGGGGAACGCTGGGGAGAGAAGGGATGGGGGACACGGAGGGGGGGTGCGGTGCGACGCGGGATAACAATTGTCGGTGCGGAGGAGGCACTGGGCGGCGGTTCCACTAGGCCGCTGGGGAGAGCTGGGGCGGGATGGTGGTGTGTAGAGGTGATGCGGAATAACATGGTCGGGGT